TAGGAAAAGAATACATAAAGATTTTAGTCATTTTACTGCAGTCCAGTCGCTTAAAAATACCCTACGTGGGTTATAACCACAATACGCAGTACAAAATTAACCACTATTTTGCCCTAAACTTTGGATACAAATACATGGGAACCGAACCCTCTTTGCGTAAATGTTCAAGCTAACATGTCCCTTTCTGTCTTTTCCCATATCTTAGAAATTACCTTTCTTGCCTTTGTGCTTGGAGGACATCGCATTGGTGTTGGCTTTGCTCAATCTCATGACCACGGAGCAGCTTCCCTGACAAAAGCAATATTTTAACGAGAAAGTAACAGGAATTTCTCTGGCAAATAATGTTTTGATTAATTATTGCAATCTTCTTAGTTTTCTATTTGGTTTTAGACAGGATATATTCTTGGCCCAAGACTAATTTTGGAATATCCCCTTTTAACGCCCACACACACGGACGAACAAACAGTGGAAATATCCGGGCTTAAGTCGAGCCTAGAGCATCGTGCTGTGCCAGATACAAAGACCCAAAGACTTGTGTCATCAAAATAAACAGACAATAAAAAAGGAAAGAATGTATCTAACCGATTTGACGATGTAGATCCAGTCTGAGTACTTGCTGTCTCTCACCAACACTGTACCTCTTCTGGAAAACAAATTACATATTCTTGTAGATGATCTTACGCTAGTGATTTCTTGTAAAGCTTTTTGGGAAGCAATATTTTAAAACCCCCACTGGCGCTGGGATTTAGTAAAGTTTTTTAAGAATGTATGTGATTGAATTTATTTGAAGAGAAACACGGTAACAACATCCATGTTTGAGTGGCTTTAACTCAGGATACGTAAACCCTCACAAGGAAGCAAGTAAACAGGAAGTGCTTCATTCACAAAATTTTGAAGAAGAGGTTGAACCCCCAGTGCCTTTTAAAGACGTTAGGGAGGGGCAAAAACTGGAGGGGTAATCAAACTCTTGGTGGCGCTGTTAATTACAGCGGTCAAAATGTCGGGGTCCGAATGTCGCCCGTATCATATAGCCTACTTCACTGCTTAAAGGTCAGTACAAGAAATTCTAAGCTGTTTCGTAAGTGTAATAAGGAAAATACTTTGAATGCGTCTAGATTGCCGTTTGGAAATCAATATAGCTTTGGCAATGTAGCCTATCTATTTACCCGTTTTTTCAACTGATCAGTTTGATCTTTGGCGATACTTATATCAAATATCAATCAGTGATTAAAACTTACCTAAAGAAATTAAAGACACATTGCTTTGGTTGTAGATCCAACAGCTGTATTGGCCACCCTTTCAAGAAATCAATGCTCCTGAATGGAAGAAAGAAATGAGTCAAAGCCATGTGTAGTCAGTATAAATAGCGAAAGAAATATCGGCAGTGAAATGCTCAAATTCAGTGTATGTTGGTCTTTACCGATTATCGTTTTAGTTTTTGGAATTTACGATAACACAATACCTGGAGGTTGTTTAATTTGTATTTTCGAGAAAACACCACACCATACTATGTCTGCGTAGAGCTCTCACCGTATGAAGGCTAAGTGATCCGGATCAGTAAGTCGTTTTACTCCCCCTGACATAAAGATCCTCATAAAATCCTGCATATTTAACTATAGCAAAGGTTCACATTAGAAATAGCGACAAATTGGTATTCTCAACTAAACAGTGTGCTATTAAGCTCATAGGCCTACAAGAAAATCAACCTAAGTCGCATTTGGACCGGCGCCACCCAGTATTTGTGACTGCTCATGCTGGTTCATGTAGTATAATAATCAGATAGTCCTCAAGCAGGAGTTTGGTAAAGAGTGACCTTTATCTGGATTGTTTAAGAAAAAGAACTACAGCACCTATCACTACCTCTGTACTTTGCTTCTGATAATATAGATGTTGTTTCCCACAGCTGGTGTCTTTTGAAAGATTTCCCTGTTGTTGGCGGAACATTCGGACGATCTGAAATTTGTTCTGGCTCTGACCGATTTCAAAAAGGTCTGTGGTTTACTGAAGAACAAAATTTGAAGTTGCACATTGCGGGAGAAATGCACTGATACCGGTACTATACCTGAGTAGAAATGACAAGCAGTTGCAGATTCTTGCGGGATGTGACGGTTGAAGTTCGTCTACTATCATTTAGTATTGCTAGCTCCTGAAAGTGTATCACAGTCGAAATTTTCCAGTCATAAGCTTCTGTATAACTTAACCATGATTTCTCTGTTCATACCTGCACACGTACATGGAACGTCATATGATTCCAGAGGGACTTTTTGCATTATAAAGCATTGTTCACGGGGTTTATGCTCTGTGTTTGGTGAATATCACTCGAAGAATGAATTTTTTGAAAATAGAATGGGCACGGTAAATTTGTGGACGTTGAAAATAAGGAAATGCGGCGGTGATACGAGCAACTATTTCATGGGCGGCGTAAATCCTAGGGGAAAGGGGTATATATCCTCCCAGTTTTTGAGGGAGTGGGCTATTGAATCATCCCCCTTTTTTGTGGTGACTCAAAAATAAAGCGGATTGTGAAGAATATGTTAAACTTTCGAAGACTGAAATCACTCATAAAAGGGAAAACAGATTTAAAAAAACCATAAGTATGCCATTCATAATGCATGGTAGAGATGTGCATCAATATCATGAACATCGACCATAATGTAGAGTCATATTGTGTCACTCACCCCCCCCCGCTTTACAGATTTTCATGGCTGGACAAATCATTCATTACCTTTCCCCATACCCCCCATTTTCAGCACAGATTTATGAGACTGAACCATTTACGGCTACTGTGAGTTAAAACTTACACCAAAGCTGTCTCCTCTTTTCAAGATGGCGACAGTCCGTTGTGTTAGCCTTCCTGGTTCCATCACAGTGACCACAACTGCATTAAATAGTGAATGAACTAATACAGAATCTTGTTTCATAATTATTGCTGGTTTATTACGTAATTGAGATTACCTCTGCAACACACGAGTGGATTGACATGAAGTCTTCAGGTTTGAAAAGATAACACTCTAAGCTTTGATTTGATTCCCCAAATCTACAATATCTAACTAATGTTTTTGAGACGTTAAAATGTTCCTTATGGATCTTAAAGATCTGCAAAGGCACCAAATGGTTAAATAGGTAGTTTGTTTTTAGCATACCGTCAATGAAAAACATATAGGCTTTTTGGGATTACAGAACCCATCGTTTTCCAAGCATGAATTTCCCACTTCTCAAGTAGTTGGGAGGGAACAGAGGATTACTGACCAAAATGTCGAAACTTTCTATGACAACTGGCTCTTCTCAGAGCCTACACCTCCCTACAAAAGAGATGCAAGTATACTTTGGGGTCAACTTTCATCCTGCTGTGTCATATAATTAATCACCAAATTTACATGCACATTATAGACATTTTCTGCCTATTAATTCCCTGGGTTCAGTCTTGTGTACTTAAACAACATACTCTAACTCACGAGTTTAAACCTTCACATTTTCTTCACAGAAGCCAGATAGTGCCAAGGGATAGAAGTTAGACCCTTGCTTGAAGAGCACGTTATATTTTTGTAATCATTTTGTGTCAGCCGCCATTCTTTCATTTGCTTTCACAAAATGAAAGAAACTTGGAAATGCAATAATTTCATCCATAGTTTTTCCAGCCGTTTCATCATTTTTGACTCAAACAACCATTGTCCAAGTTTCGAAGCAAAATGTTGCTTACTTTCCGTTTTAATCATAAATAAATATTGTGACAAAAGGCCCAATATCTGTGTGTGGTTCTTTGTTTTTACAATATGACAAAAGTCATCTGCTTAGCAGGGCGAAAAGGGGACCATACTGTTCTACACGAGTCAAAATGTACATGCGTGCAAACGATGTTGAGAAAGAACACAAGCATGCGCACGTGTTGAAATGTGACAATGCTCATTTATCGCGAATACAGGCTATGTCTTCTACGAACGCGAAGTTGCAAAACTCTGTACAGTGTAATACAGAAAAACAACAAAAGCCTCTACATTTTGCTGTTTTTCACGAAGTGAAAAAATTTCATTTATAAGTTACTGAGATCATTCCTCTGTACGTCTAAAATGTGGAGTAGCGATGAACAAGTTTACATTTCATGACGATGTAAACTTTCCCAAATCTGTGACAATAAACTAGTCAAAAACTAGTGAATGGCTTATTTTTGCATGCAGTCATCTCGGAATGTCCATTTTACAAGATACTGAAGTTTTTGTTTCTTAAGTAAGATTTGAAGCTCTGCATTGGTGGGAGTGTTAAACAAAAAAGGCTTGCGGGTACACCATGTGGGAAATATATCTTTTGTGAAGAGGTGTGGTTCTAAAAAGAACCAGTGAGAGCAGGTCTCGACGTTTCGGCCAGTGTGCTATGGCCTTCCTCAGGAGAGAGTTTCTCTCCTCAGGAAGGCCAGAGCACACTGGCCGAAACGCCGAGACCTGCTCTCACCGGTTCTTTTTAGAACCACACCTCTTCACAAAAGAGATATTTCCCACATGGTGTACCTGCAAACCTTTTTTGTTTTTGTTTCTTGTTAAATTACAGACATACTATCAAGCTATCTGTCGGCCGTCACATAATTTTCTGGCGGCCACCTCTTATTATCTGGCAGCTGTCACTTCAGGCGATTGAAGTTCAGGCATCCAAAGAGGATTACAGAGCTTTTAAGCTCTACTCTAATATGTTTCTGTGTATTAAGTGGCGGCTACCAGAAATTATTCAAGTGGTGGCCGGCAGACAATTATGCGGTGGCCGCTAGGTAATAAGTAGTGACCGTGAAAAATGGTGGCAAAAACATATTCACCCTCTGTTAATAGTTTGCGTCCTGTCCATTGGCAGAATTCAACTTCCATATTTGTTACTTCACTAACCTGAGCCAGAGCAAATGAAGTAGAACGCTTGGGGTTTGTGTCCTTCTCTGATGATAACTCGGTTTGGCCCGTAAGCCTCGTACCAACCAACCCTAGCCAGACTTTTCTGCATCCGTACAGGGTATGCTGCTATGGCCTTTAACCCACAAATAGCAATTTGAACCTGCGAAGGAGAACGTGCAGTGAGTAAAAGTCATCATTTTTACATTATGTAATATGTTATTGTCTCAAATCGGGGAATTAAATCTAAAGGTACAGTTCATCATTTGTAAATTTTATTATGTTCCTTTGAGGCACCAAAATTACCACAAGATAATTTGGCCTGATATTAGCCTATGTGACGGACACATTAGGAGGGCGCTTTTTGGTTTTGGTAAAATCTTTCGTGTTTGCTCAAAATTTTGCCTCTTCAAATAGCGCCCTCTCGTTGTGTCTGCCGTACGTCAAATAGGCTTATGGTGCGTCCTGGATAACATGTAATACATGGCCACTCAAATAAATATAAGTCCATTTGAAAATATTCAAGCACTTTTGGAATTACATTACCTCATGTAAGGTCAATGTTTGACGGGTTCAAACCACGTTTCCATTTCAGTGTCAAATTTGTGGAACACTTCAAGAGTTATCCCACTATCGACTCTCTTCGTAATACGCCACTGATATTGGCATCAGAGACAAACATTATAAAACTTTTTTAATGAAAAAGTAGAAAGAGAACTATAAATTTATTTTTAAAAATTGAGGCTTTATATTGGAAGCATCAGTTTGTTCAAATTTGTGACAATATGATAGTCAGTTTTAAATTACATTCTCACATAATGTATCTCTTGTAAGCTTCGTTCATCTGGAGGGGCTTGTAGAATTTTCTGTGCCTCTTGAGGAAGTAGTTTCTGCAGTCATACAAAGTACATTGTTGTCAACAGCCTTTTCGGGTGAGAAAGTACTCATTATTTAAGGTCCGGAGGACGCAGGCAGCTTTCATACCAATGAGCCTGGTATTAATTTCTGAACCTATATACTACCACGCACATTCTGATTTCAAATTGGTGAATGAGCTGTAAGTAGTTGGTGGTGCTATAAGACACAAACTATATGATTATTCATTTCAAAACATTGGAAATTATAAAATGAAATTTTCGACCAAATTTTGAAGTCGCTGAAAAACTGCATTGAAGTTGCGAAACTGTGATGGACGTGTACAGTGTATAAACACTACTATACATCCAATTACTGTCAATTTGAATTTGAATTCTAGAGATTCTAGAAAATAACATTTTCAAATGGACCAAAAATTTTCTATTTAAACGAACTCGCTAATTTTTATCATCACCTTTAATTTGACAAATCTTTGAAAACATTATTACACATGCTGAGCCCGAATTAAAGTCTACTGTCAGAAAAACGCTTGTACCCATGGGAGTCACTAACTAGTGGATAATTTTTCATGACGCAGGTGTCACTGTCAGCCTGTACTCAACCCTAGCCGAATGATCCAGACTCAGCCATAATTAAGGGGGGGGGGTAGTCACCTGTTTCTTGGCTTTGAATTGCGTGACGTCGAACAAGACGTCAGTGCTGTCACGTGTAGAATCTACTTGGGCGAAGGAAAGATGAGCCGAATCACTGATTGAGAAAAATAAACAAAAACCATGGCTTTGATTTCTTATTATTCAGTATCGATGTCTTTGTGATATTTCATTCGACTTCGTGAAAAATAAGGGGTGACAGCATTACAATTTTTGTTAACAGTGAAATGAACTTATTTAAACAAACCTGACTTCAATGTAATGCATACGGCATATACGTCGAACCAAGATAGCGAGCCACGCCACTCGGCGAAATTTTTGGTAAAGCATTTTCTGAAAAAGAAAAGATGACAGAGTTTATAAGCTGATATCGGCCTTTGCTATTAAACACTCTAAAAAAAACTCCCAGGTCGACCTGGAATTGGTGTCCCGTTGGGCCTGACTGTTTATGGGGTCAAAAATCGACCCTCTCCAGGTTCTTCTGGGTGCATCAGACCCCTTTCTGATTAATTTTAACGCCCAAAAAGGGACATCTTTTGGCCAGGCTCAACGGGACCTCAATTCCAGGTCAATCTTACCCGGGAGCTTTAAGAGTGAAGCCAGTGAAAAGTTTAGCTGTGATAATTTTTTTTAAAATGAAGACTCCACAGTGTTCATTACGGAAGCGTACAAGGGCCACTTGCAATGAATTAGTATCTCGCCGCGGCGAGATAACTCGAAAAAAAATTTTTTTTTGGCAAGTGGCCCTTATACGCTTGTATAGTTCATCAAGTAGTAAATTTCGAGGATTTTTAAATTCAAATGCAAAAAAAGAGAAGTAGTTCGTTTTCTGGTATTACAAAGGAAATGTGACGAGACCTCCTTCCTCTAGGCTACCGAAGAGCTAAACCGTGTGCTGGAAATTGAGTTTACCAGTGACTTTGCTCTTGCAGTCTTTTAAAATTTGACGAATTCAAATTCAACATACCTTTCTGTCATTTCTCCACTTTCGTAACTTCCTTCTTCTCAGAGTTATCTCGGCTGTTGTCATTCCAACGGCTGTGGAGTCTGTTGAAGGAGTCTTTAGGGCAACAGCACCTTCAGCTCCAAGACCACTTGAGTTGCTCATGACTTTATTAACAGCCGCTTGCCAGTGGATTTTAGCCACGTTTGTAGAGTTCCTGTTCTGGGTCGGCGGTACCAAGGATGATGAAGTGGATGGATCGGGTAGGTTAGGAAGTGGATGGGAAGTTCTTGGACTTCTTCGTCTTCCTTTCCGCGCCTGATTGAGTATATCGACCGTTGCCAGCATGCTTTGATATCGTCGCTGCGGGTCAAGAAAGGAGGATACCGTTTCGCGAATGGGATCCATTGCACTGCCAAGTGTTGGACGTGTAATGAACCAAATCGGCTTTATGACTCAACAGCCGAGGCTTCTGACTCCAAACTCTGGTTACTATGGTCGGTCATTTGCTGATAATATTGATCTTGTCTGTTGCCTTATCATGTGCTTCACTAGTTTGGTCAATCACCCATTTGATGTTCACTCGCAAAGAGCTAAAAATATCTCTTGTGATTCCTCTTTTATCGCTATCCAGTATTGTATACAAAACGCTCTACATAGCAGATGCAGACGATAAGTAGGGATATCACTATGGTGTTGATATTTTATTCCAAGATAAATTACACAGGCTAATAACAGCTATGATAATCTGTCTGTTGGGCCGCGTGCCTTTGGCGAGGAAGCCACTGATATCTGCTATTACATCCGATAAAAGAGCTGAATAAGTTTACTAATCACCCCCACAGACCGTTTGAAGGAAAATCTATCTGATCGAAGTCCATCTTTTATGACCATTACACAGTAAAAGCGCACAGTTTAAAAACGTTTGGGGAGGAATGGTAGGTTTTGTCTAAACGCCCAAAGCCAAAAGCAAACAGTTTTCTGCACTCATTTCCCGGCCTTTGGGTGCAGGTATATACAGTCTTGGTTTCAAAGCAGACCATGCCATGTTTTTCTCGTAGCGCTTATCGCAAGCTTGCCCTCATAACATCTCCAAGCAGAGGGCGCTATCACCACTATCCAGAGAATAATGGAAGGCATGCAGTCGCTATAGGAACCCTTCCAAGAACGCTGTGTTGTAGTGGTCAACACAACAAAGTGTACCAAATTAGACATATTTTAAATTGTCAAGCATTGAAAACCAACACATAAAAATCATCTTCCTGATGTATAGGTTAAAATACGTAAAATTTAAAGACGAAAGAATGACCGTTAAAACTTTAAACACAACATACACATACATAGGTGACTTTGTACAAATAATTGCAACCTCAATACAGTGTATGTAGAAAAGATGTAAATAAAAATGAATACAAAACACCTGAAGTCAAAGCAATTCAGTCCTGAGAAAAAATAAGAGAAGACAAAAGAGGGACCTCCCACTGTCTTTGCTGTAGAGGATCTGGTGCCACCATCAGGAAATGCTCCTCAACTTTACAAGTAATTGGCTACTGTGAATCTTTTTGGCGTTCATGACTGTTTTTTCGATAGATTAATCTTTTCATGTCGTGCTTATGCCGTTTCGACAGTTCAACTTGCCTTTTAGTTTTAGGCACGGCATAAGCACGACCGTGATTTGGCTCGGTAAATTGACTTCAGCATGGCGGAGGATTTTGGTTCCTACAGGGAGTACCGTGCTCAAGTCATTAAGTACGACAGAAGCACGCTGTGGTTTCAAACATCGTGCTACTGTAGAGTCGAATACAATTTCTATTCAAAATTGGTCCTAAACCTCGTTGGTAATTTGGGAATGCGCATGCTCACAGCGTGTAGCAGAATTGATAAATAATCATTAACAAACTAACGCAGTAGCAAATAGGCCTATGGCGACTAAAATGGAAATATCTCGAAACGCAGGGGGCAGATTGCTAGACGGAGCTAAGGGAGATTGTTACACCATTTCTCTTTCAAAATCTTGTTTGATATAAGATAAACTCAAAGGTGACCTTTGAAAGTAAAATCCTGTCCGAACGTCGGGAATAAGACTCCCAAATGATATGGAACTGTTCACTTGGGTGATATTGTATTGAGACGGCACTGCAAGATCGCAGGAAACCATACTTTTGGGCCTTTGGAATAAAAAGGCCTCGATTGTTTTGGAGAAATAAAGTACTAATAGTGCTCGCCGAAACGAAATTCGTTTTCTTTGTGACTCAGTCTGAAAGATCGCAGGATCACGTTTCGTATTGTTCTGATCTGTTTGCTGTATTAACGGTCGACTGGGCTTTTTGAATTAAATCGACGTTTGAAGCCACTGACGTGCTTATGCCGCACTAACATCGTGGTCAAGTCAATTTTAATCAACGACGTTCGAAATTGGCTTTACAGGCCTAAAAATGGTTAAAAGAAGAGCTGGCGCTGCATTTTTGTTACAGCCTGCACAGTACGCACTCTTTCTGGGATGTCTCTGCAAAAAACGTCTTTCAGTGAGGATTATATCGCAGAAAGTCTTCCATCTTTAAACAGGTATTTAGGCCTATCCCATCTTTCCGTGATAATTTCTCACGGAAACTCAGACTGGCTTTTTGTTAATGCAAGCTGCTGTCATTATTGAAATGACACAAGTAAACAGTGACATTCCCGGATAAGTGTCAGGAAGGCACTTTCAGGTGATATTAAAAAACTCACACAAACCATTCCAGGGCATGACAGGTACACAGTACTGTTATGATGAAACTCCAAAAGGTACTGGTTTGATATTAACTTTGACAAGAAAGAGGATGTATGTAAGTGATCCCTTACAATGCGAGTAATTGCCCAATGTCTAGAGTACTGTAGGCCTATGCACTTCTGCGGGACCGAATTTGATGATATTCGAATTGATTTTCACTGAAGAAAATGTGGCTGAATATACGAATCAGAAAGGATTGACATACATCCAGTGAGCGATTACATGTACAGGGAAGCACGACATGTGCGTATACAATAAAAGGAGATGGATGGATCACACGCACCTATACCTATAGACCTGAATGACGTCGGACTTCCCCAGGCAGCCAATTCACACAGTACACGCTTGGCCGCTCGCATGACGTCTTATAAGGCGTCAACTTCATTTGCTCGTCGCCCAGCGCCCGAAGAGGGCGAGGGGGGGGGTCTGATGGCGTCGCACAGATTTTAGTGAAGGAAATACGTCACAGCCAACGACGCACAGAGTAATGTGGGTAAAATTTTTCCAGGTGCGCGAGCTCAGTCAGTCAGTTACCCAAGCGACCGTTATCAGTTCCATATTCCACAAGACGACGCCACGGCCTCCATATCCAAAGCATAAACACAGACGTCACGGAGGACGCGACTTCTGTCAAGTCTACTGTACCTGCAGTGTGTGATATCAGAGAGTAAATTGGAAAGCTGAGCTCGCACACACGTACTGGTCAAGCAGAAATCAACAACCGGAATAGCACAATAACAAGAACGATATTACTTACAATAATATAGCAGTAAATTAGTTTTCTGGTTTATGCACTTTATACATTAAAGGTATATTCCGTTCATTTGCCACAATCAAAAGAGTGACTGACGGAATTTAGGTTGAAAAGCATACTTGGTTTAAAGATGGTTATGGGACCACTCCCTGTGAAATTATTCTTTCTTGCAAGCCGTCATTTTGATGAAAACAATAAATATATATAATTTAATACAGCTCTATGGAATTGATACGTCTCTTTGCAATGTTTTGATGGCAAATATACCTCAGTTGCTACAATGAACTTCTTGTGAACTTATATATTAAAATATACTTTTGTCTTCGTCTTTCATTCCCGAAGCACTGAATTATTTCGTCTGATAAGGTATAAAATTAATGTGGGAATTAACGTAATCAGTGTGAAGTGGTCGATGTACGAACGTACCCAGTCGGGAAGAGAAACAAAATGTGTATGAAAAACTGTAAACAATTCTAAAACTTTCCTACCTTTCTTCACCCTAGCTTTCTTTGTAAAATTTCATAAAAACGTCGAATTCGTTTTTAGGCCTTCAAAGATCGTGCCAAAACGTACACAAACTTTTGTTCACGAAAAGAGCTCCAAACAAAGCTCACTAGTTTTGCCCACTCAGTATTTTCTGTATAATATTTTTCTGTGATATGTTAGGAATTGGCCTAATCCGTCATAAAAAAAGATGTCATGGCAATGAAGCAGCTAGTTGCATGGAACGAATTCACGTTGCCTTCATTATGTAGGCAAGTCCCCCCCCCGAGTGAACAATCGACATGCGCAGCTCAAAATCTCTTCCCCCTCCAAGTGAAACCGATTGTCCAACCTAGTGTCCGTATGTTCGTAACGAACGCCGACGGCACTAGACGTCAAGACGCAGACAGTCGTGGAGGTGACGCTGCGTGACGTTATTCCACCCCCAAAAATAAACAAAACGGCTTCCAAATCTCGGTAAATCTTCGCATAAATGCCTTTTTTACAATACAATAGCGCCTCTTGTAGCCAAACTGATACACGTACTTCAGTGTAATGTATTTTGTAAATGGTCAGCTATTTTTTGGACGATTGGGGCTTCAAAGGCCTATGTTTGTAATAAGGAGAAACTGGACAAAATGAGTGGTACTAAGCGAGAGGAAAATCGTTGTACGCCCTTCATGCCGCCGTGGGCGTTTGTATACATGTAGTGCGGCTCAGCAAGTCAAAGCAGACAGTCGTTAAAGTTGAACCGGGCTGAACTTTGCCGATACGTCTGGAGCTGCTTTGCATATGTCTGGGTTATTGTCGACACTTCCGTTTGACATATCTTTGCTGCAGTTTGCGTCTTGATTGCGTTGCTCATGTGTTTCTGTCGTCGATATGGAAACCAGGCTTTAGGCCTATGTGTGAGAGGACCAATTGAGATCAATGGACAGGACGCACACCAACCTTGTTCCCATGGATACGATCTTGCCGCGTCATGTTGGTTACCACCATGCCTTGCGCGATTTAACCGCGTACGCAGACCATGGGGTGCATTCCACCAAATCGTTGTATTTCTGCGCGCAAGCTCATTATTTTTTGTGATCCCACGGGATTTTATAAATAATCAGAGGGGATAATAGGAATATCATTTCTATAAATCCCGAATTTGGGACTGATAGTTTCACACACCAAATTTTGGGCCAATGCTTCGACTGCGGAATTTTGCTTGGGTTGAAATGTGTTCATCTTCTACGAATTGGGAACGCGACTATTTTATCTGACCTCACAAATGAAGTATGAACCCGCCTTTATTTTGCAAACTTTCCCTTATCATGCAAGTAGAGACTACACTCAACCTGATCCCCCCAAACCTATTAAAGCAAACTTTGTGCTTTCAGATTTTTTTTAAGCCTTTAGGCATGTACTGCCGGCCTTCTATCATTATTAATTGCAATGCTTACCACCCGGGGCTGATCTTGATGTCAAAAGCGCGACATTTCTCTCATTTTTAATTTCATTTCATTGACATCGCAGAGAGTGGTATACGCTAAATCCACTACCCGGTGACCAAGTTTCAATACATTTATCGCTGGCCACGAAGATGTGAAGTTATTTTGTTATAAAACGTGAAGCGCCTTCAGGAAACGTAATCACATCACCAATATTTAATTACCGCCCCATCTTTCGAGTAATGGCAGTGTGCAACTCGGCTGTGCCGTCAATAATTCAAATGGGCACTTGTCAGCTCCGACTTCAATACATCTATTGAATTTAAATCAGGGCAAAAGATTTGATTGCTCCCCAGAACGAACTGTTTATATTTTCCAGGCTTGATTGACACTGTAGGGTCTCTTGCAGCGCAGAATACGATTATTACTTGCCGACAGTTTTTACATACGCTAGGGAAATCCGACTTGAATATAGGCTATATTTGTGGATTTGGAGTAATTTTTATTGTCTGAATTTTCCACGAGGCATGAAGACTAGTCTTATCTCAAGAACTATTTTCTCATATCCCCATACGGTTAAGTAATATAAAAAAGGTCCCCAGCAGTGTTTGCATTTACTTTCATTTCCATAATGTCAAGTTAACGATGATAACAATACACCGGGAGATGATGATTGGCACGATTAACACGAAGGTGTCTCTGGGAATATCTTGTTCCATGCACTTACTTGACGTTCACATCAGACGTTCATAACTGGTGTGCACAGCCACAGTGAGTGGCAGGGGGCAAGAAACGCTTCCCCTGGAGAAAAAAAAACGAAAAACAAAAATGCCAAAAAGGAGAAAAAAAGCGAAGGTGAAAAGGGTAAAAAGGGGATACAAATAATAAAAATTGCTCCAAAATACTATTGTTAATGGGTGGTCAGCTTGCTGTCAGTGCGTGCTTTGACCACTCCCAGAAGAAATAGCGACGCCCATGACAGCCACATGCAGTTTAGTGAAATTTACCCAACTATAATTAAGCCGTTCTGTTACTGAGAATTAATGGGAAGGCATCAGGACCAGATGGGATATCAGCAGAAGCCACCAAGGCTAAAACAAGTGGGATTTAGAAGGAGGAACAAGTTCCAAATGACTGGAAAAGAAAGAACACTTATCAAACTTCCAAAATGGGGATCTTAGAGTCTGTATAATGACTACAGAGCGATAATGCTCCTTTCCTTTCAGCCCCAGGTTAGTCCAGAACAGAATCATTGTACAGAGGATGGAAGGGCAGCCAACATCAAGCTCCGTGATCAGCAGGTAGGTTTCTGCAATAACAGATCCTGTGTAGATCCACTCGTCAACTATTTACGTCGTATTGTGGAACAGTCTCTGCTGTGGAACTTTCCTCTCTGTACAAATTTTATGGACTTCGAAAAGCCATTGACACTGTTGATAGGTAATCAATATGAAATTGATTAGGCACCATGACATATCCGAGAAGCGCATTTCCTAGGTTAAATGTACATATCAAGACTTGTCACGCAGAGTTGTACACTGGGGATGCTGTTACCCTTCTTTTTTATCTTAGCTATTGACTGCATCATGAGGACGACTATAAAGCAAACGGGAAATATTGAATAAAGGGTCACTCTGGTCCCATTACGATGATCTTGACTATGCGTTCATTGCACATGATTGTTTAACTATACACAGGAAAAGACAATCTTACCATCAGAGAAAGGAATTGGGCTCAAGATCAACAGGAGAAAAACCACAAATCATGAAGATCAATACCAAGGCCAACACCTTCGTGAAACTTAATGGAAATGCCATTGAAGAAGTGGATTAGGCCTAATCTGTGTATCTCGGAAGTGTTATTGATACACAGTGGGGCATGGACCAGGATGTCACTGCCAGGATAGGCAAAGTAAGAGCTACCGTAACCTTTGTCATGTTGAAAAGTATGAAGCTTCTGGGAAATTAGTATATCAACCAAGTTACAAATGTTTAACTCCAATGTTAAATCTGTCCATGAGACATGGAGATCAAATAAGAAGACACAACCGAGGCAAATCTTCCACATTAAGTGGCCAGAGCTGGTCAAGAGACAGTGGATAGGCAGATCTTGAAAAGGAAGTTAGGCTGAATTGGTCATACACTAAGAAAACCAACATTCAATACCAAGCGTCAGGCGCTGACATGGAATCTACGGGAAAAAGAAGAAGAGGGCATCCCAGAAACAGCTGGAGGAGAGACACTGAAGAGGCGCAGTACCAGCTGGAAGGAGAAAGAAAGATGGCCCAGATGGGTCAGGTACAGGGGAGATCTATCGTCGATGGCCTACGCTCCATTGTGGCAAAGGGCTGAAGTAAGGAATTAAGAGAAAATTAAGATAAATGAGATTTTGTTCACAAAATTGTTCCTTCAAGCGAACTGGCGTTTACCGTTCAAATCTGAAGTTGAAATAAGGCTTATTTCAACGGAAATTTGGTGTGTTCAACATGACAGACTGATGATCGCTATCTGGAAAAATGCCCTTTGCCTTTAATATCGTGACAGAGAAATATCACGATCCCGTAATCCCCTTGTGGCGGTCTTCCGTTTAATGTCATGGCTTTCTTGTAACGTTACATTATTACATATATCTTCATGGGAACACACACAACGTGCGCTGCAAACAGCACCTCTACTCATAAAGTTATGGTGCTACTGTCTGAGTTTATACATGCGTATTAGGTGTATGGGGGAGGGCCTGCTTACTTTATATCCCAGGATATCGTCGATAGGGCAATAGAATTAAGGACTCTAGATCTCAATGTTATCAACTTAAAAGTGGCAACAAGGGATACTGAGCTAATGGTGCATAAAATGTTTGTGAATTATCTATGCTGCGCAAAATCAAAATTGTAATTATTGCATTTCTTCGCTTTCACCAAACACGTCCTCACAAATGCGGCGTGCTCACAACAATAATATACAAGGCGCAATAAAAAAGGTAAGCCACAACACAACATTAAAGAATTTGAGTCTCTCCTTTCCTTTGTTTCGGATTTTTTGATGAATCATCATTGCATTTTTCAAACCAATAACGGAATGACGAAATAAGAAAAATCCGACAAGATTGTAAGTGCTTTCTGTACCAGAATTGGCCTTTTAAATTCAGAAACGCATCAATTTAAACAGTTATCGGCCGAAATGTCATGGTGCATTGTGTACGATGAACTCCTACAAAACAGTTGTAATTATACACATACCATTCACCATTGATAGTTATATTCCTTTTTCTTTACTTGTACAATTTGTCCAAAATATAAATTCTATTCAACCGCCGGCTGCCATTTATGTTTTTCCAAGAGCAACGCCGGAAAGCACACGTAAAACCACATGGCATGTATATACACATTGCCATGAAGCAATTCAGACATGTAGCCTGCTTTAGGCAGATCATCTAAGTAGGAAATAGTTTTGGGCCCAGATTCACGCTGCAAAAAAGGTCACTATGGTCTGATTCCATTGAATGATGAAAACTAACTTAAAACTAAAAAAAGGCGAAAACCGTCCCTTGTGTTTGCCCTACCAAATATTAAAATATGGGTATTACATCGGATTCAGTGAATAAATCGTTGATGCTGGGTTTATTTGATTAAGCCAAGGTAGAGGTACTGATGATTACGGCACTTGATATGTTTTCAGCCCTTACTGTGTAATAGTTTGCTCCTTTCAATGTGTCTGTCGTTTTGCTGCCGTGTCCTTGTCCAAAGTCCCAGCGACGCCCATGTTGAGAGGTAGTGGTGCTCGTCTAGTGCGCATGTGAATTACTCATGCCTCTTTGGCGAGTTCGTTAAGAGCAAAAAATTCGGATGGCCAAGGCTATACTTTATGTTGGATTAAGTAAACGGCCATGCGTTGTATACAAAATGGGAAATTAGGGTTGTTAGCATTATTAGTAAGTGCCCTTATAATCCATTACTATTAGTGCGTTGGCCAATGACGTGGAAGGGATGTAATGGAATATTTGATTTGTCATTAAAGTAGGCCTCTCTCCCTTACGAGGACATCAAATACAGAGCAAATCCAATAACAAACAGAATTCATTCACAATTAAAATGATGTTTTGCAACTCTTCGCAAAGTGGCAGGGTCTGCTGTTTAAATTTGAGCAATTATTGGTCATTAACAGAAAGAGATTCTACAGCTGCAAGCAAAAACGCAGTGACGACTCCTTTGCATTATAACTGATGCTATGCCTCATGTTATTATTTATTTTAATTATTTATTGGTTTACAAAACCAAACAATGACCAACAGCGGCAGCTGAAAGGCTCCTCAAAAAGGAATTTTCATATTTAAGATACAAATGGCGCATCCCATAAGATTGTCAAACTATGAAATGGCAGTATATTGAAAGAAATGTCTATAATACATTCAGCTAATAATAATTAAAAAACTCTGGCAAAATTAGGGTGTCAGTGAAATCGGTCATAATTGATTGCAAGACGTAACACTGGTTTCTGCAAGTATAGGAGTATAATGTCGGCAGTTTTCCACTTGGTTGGGAAACTCCCTCACGGAGACAAGTGTTGAATATGTTGATTAGTGGTTCATCCAGTTCAGGAGAAATGGCTCCTTTATTAATTACAGATGTTCCAACTGATATACATGTAGCCTATATCGAAGTAATAAACTAGCCACAGTTTTGATTTCATTGGTCGTCACAATTTTGTTATAATTGTTCGCTAGTATGGTTTTCAATCGTATTTACATAATTTGGACATAAGAAGTAAAAGTGATGTAGACTCTACTTAGCGTATTGAAATACTGAAGTATAAGATTTCATAGGAGGCAAGTTTTGAGATATTATTAATAAATATTGCTCACACATCAGTTTTTTTTTACATACACGATTAGTCTTATGTCCAACCACACCATATTACATGTCCTGAACTTGCGAAGTAGGAAGGGAATAAGTAATGTCTTTACAAATACAACTGCATTGGAAAATAATTGAAAGACAAGATGATTGATGATCTCATCATGTGTTTCGTATTAACCCGTAAAGAGCTGGGCCTTTTTGATACATCTCACAAGGGGGGGGCGAATTCTGCCCTCTAGAACTCGGTTTTTCAGGCTTCGTCTTCTTTGAGAAACATATGAGCACTGTAGGTGAGTGTTATTTCAGTTCGATGTCATGGTTCATGTTCACGGCCCCACAAGTGTTAAGCCTGCGTCCATCCAGCATGTTAATAGAAAAAGTTGACTTTTGGACTGACCTGCCTTGGAAAAGAATGGGTGTTTCGCATGAACGGTTTGATTGTCAGAAAATTGCAAGACATGCTGGAAATACTGCTGAAGTCCCTGCACATGGGAAAGGTATTGTGATGATATCGGACTCAATGTGGAGGGGAGGGACTAAAAATCTGATTAAGTAGAAAAAAATCATTGGATTAAAACAGAATTGGACTGACAAGTCCTCTGTCTATACCAGCCATCCGGACACATACTCCTTTGCCAAACTACGGATACAGCCAATGATCTAAACTAATCCTAAGCCAAGTAAAAAGGAATGATAGCGGAAACGTATTTAAACATCTACAACGATTGATCTACAGGATAATCTGTGCATTCCTTAAAATTTTCCTGAGTACAAGTCGAAAGCTTTCTTTTTCTTGAAGAGAAAGTACAGTTAAAATTATTTTCCACACGTCTATAGAGACACCAAGAAACAGTTGTATTTGAACACTTAATTAAGAACGACCAATATACTAAAGCACAGTTTTCAAAAGAATTACTGTCGAAATCACAGTTTGGTTTCAGTGATGTCATTGATGGCTAAGGTTTCCACCGTAGCGTTACTCTTACTCTGATCAGCTGTACTTATTGCGAAAGCAGAGGTATCTCGCTGTCTGACTCGACCGTTGCAATGAAACGCCTCTCTGAAAGAAGACCGATAGATCGAATTCATTGCACCGTAGATCAAGGGATTAATCATTCCGTTGACGTATTGGGGAATGAGGGATAACCAGATTTGATTGTTACCCAGGGCCACTGCTAAAGGATTAGGAATCTGAGCTAACCAACAAATCCATCCAGCAAGACTGAAGATACGATACGGGGTCTGGCACAAGAAGAATACCACGCCATTTACGATGAGCATTCTGGCTACTTGATTTCGGATTTGAACGGCTTTGTGGTGTTTGTTAATTCCACTGTTTTTACTGCTGCGTTTGCTAAGCACCTCCAAGATACGCACATACATGTAAATATTGGCCACCATCGCGATTAACCAGGGGACATTCAGTAGGGGTGGTACGAAGAAATCAACCTGGGGTGTTACAGGACCACAGAATGTAATGCTTGTTGGGTAGTCCCAAAACTCTTCGACGTCGGGCCATTGCAAACATAGTACACGAAGAACAACACTACCTGGAACGGTTGCAACGGAGAATATCAACCCAACCAGCCAGCAGACTGCAACCATTTTGTAGGTTCGTCTTCGTCCACGAACTTTGAGATGTTTCACTGGATGGCACAGAGCGAGGTATCTCTCGAAGGAAACCATGGTTACCAAGGTAATAGAAGCAAAGTAACCAGTATTTACAATGGTGAAAAAGCAGATGCACTGAGCTGAATTCACGAAGGGAACGTGAAATGCCACACGCGACGCTGTGTAACTCCATATGTTTAACGCTGACCCCAAACTCAAATACAGGAGATCCGCTATTGCTAGGTGTGCCAAGTATGTGTTGGTTTCTGATCTCAGTTTGGGAACGCGGCAGAGTACAAATAGAAAAATCAAATTAGTGATGATACCAAGACACCAGATCATAGGTATGATAATGGTTATGATGGAGGTGTCTGTGGGTGTATACAACCATCCCAAAACTGACTTTTCACTGACATTGAGAGTATCTTGTTCACTGCACTCGCCTGACGTTATTCCTGACCCCATGCTGGCTAGTGAGCTCAGCCACCGTTTTGAGAAAAGCTCATAAACCTTTCTCAAGGCAAAGCTCAGGAGACAGTTTCTGGCCCGTGGACGTGGACGCAATTCAAGGTCCAGTGTCCTAGAAGTACTGCACGGAAAATAACCATCGCCTCGTGATGTTTCCACCTCTGATTCTGTTGTCCTGCCCACACCTAATGGTCTGTAGTCTCGATCAAACGTTGCGCTGGTGTACCCTCAATTGCTGGTGCATTAATATATCCATACCTGAACCCGAAGGGTAAAAAAGTTTTGATATAGGCGGTCTGGGCTATCGGCGTTACATGTAATGCATATATCATGTTAATACTGCTGTATATCAAGCAGCTTAAAAGCTGGCAGTAGATCCACAATTTATTACAAACGTTTCGTCAGTGTACAGAACAGTATGGTGAACTATTAGGGCCACCTTACACAGCGCCGTGAGAGTAGTTACGCTACGCGACGAGAGTTGTTTGGCAATGTAGTAAGTATTATTTAGCGGTGCAACAAGTGTTGTTACGGTAGCATTGCACTAAATATAAATCCTCAAAGAACGCCCAAAGTGAAAATATCATTTTAAGAGAGAAAAAACTTATGAAATATAAAATTTTAAAAACTCGGGACGGGCGCTGATTCGAACCTAAACATTAACTCTTAATTACCTTAATGCATTTTAGGCTTAAATGCTGTTGTTGTTCTCTTTTTTTATTTAATTTCAGCTTTAATTAAACGTAAAGACTAACCAAAAAATAGTTTCGTAACATTTCATGAATTGGAGTACAGGTATTTTACATTTTCAGAAGTGAGGGCTGGATTTGTGACTTTGTATTCTTATTTCAGTTCAAGCAATTTTTCAATTTCTATAAATATGCCATTTAATATTTTACACAGGCCTTTTTTGAGGTGATGCTTTAAAGAAGTAACCAAAAAACCTACAAACTAGTCAGCCAGGATTCAAGAACCTTTCAACTTTCAGGGATTAACTTTAGGCTATATTAAAATGAACTTTCCGATCTCTTATGATTACTCACCAAAATGTGCAAAATTGGAGCCTACCACCAGATCACAGGGGACACGAGAAGAGACTTTCACCGTGCCTCTGAACAACACTCACAACGCTGTGAAACAACTCTTATCACGCAGAGAAACAACTCTCATAGCGCAGAGAAACAACTTTCATTGCGCTCGAAACAACTCTCGATCAGCGCGCTGCGTATGACCTTAATAGAACATCACAAGTACACACTAAAAGTACAAGAAATGATAAAAACTACGATCATTGGAGATTTGCGGTCTTGTAGATTGCTCTGATCTTTCGTTTTAGCCGATCTGCAATTCATCATGTTGGGATATTTATAGGCCTATATGTATTGTTTTAGAAGAAAATAATTCTAGGACCAAATTTGGCGTCCGAAAAATGGGCGTCTGTTATTTTACCTTCCTGATAGTTAAGTCCAGTTGTATGTGTTTGTCGTGGTGGCTGTAACGTTGGTTAATATCATATCAAATGTACAAAGTGCATGCCCTACGAATTTGACATTAATTTGAGTATGATACACGGGTTCCGTCGTTTCAGGTGAGGGTTGTGATGCTGCTGTGTGTTTTGCTTGCTTGCATTACTGGTATTACCTTCAGCCATGACGACTACAGTGTAAATTCGCTTGGATGAAAGGGACTGGTATTTGTAAGGTCTTATCTGCGCATGCACAAGTGACTCAGAGTAACCTCTCGCGGCTGTTGACCGCAACGACATTGATGGTTAATCGAAGTAAACACGTTGATCATGACGAGCAAGCCTCGTCATTCATTTAGTTGATGCAAATTGCACAAATGAGACTTAATGTCCAAAGGGACCACTAACGTTTCCAGGTTCCGCGGGAGGTTTAAATTTAATGGGAATTTTTCTGAAATAAGTGTGTAATTTTTTCACCCAAGGAAAGGAGCTGTTTCAAGTGGTTTACACACTGTTGGGACTTGAAGTTCTATTTTTAAAAAGTATCATATCCATGCCCCTATCCCTATACTCCCACTGGATGCACCTTTGAGGACTTTATGCAAGTTAATGTATAGCCTTTGCCCTTGGATAACATTAAGGTTTCCAGTGTTTCTGGAAATTAGCTCATTCGTTTAATGGGAATGCATTATTGTACTTGTTTTGTCAATCGTGTGTGTTGAGTGGATATCCATCGTACGGTGTGGCAAATGCAAGATATCCCTTGAAATGTTTCCATAAATACGGTATTTAAAAAACAGGGAGTTTCGCAAATCCCCCCATCCACATGATAGTAGAGGCATATGAGTTTGAGTAATCAACACCATTCATACAAATCAGTATTGCATTTCTGAGCAACGTGGGGTGTACCGACTTCTCTCTGTTAATATGACAGATGCATTAACAAAATGAAGTAATAAAAAAATTATGGACTTTACTAGCGGAGGTAAATTTTTAATCACATACATCAAAGCAAACAAGCATAAGTTATTCATACTCTACGTTTGCGTTGCCAATCGTATATGCATAATGGAATATTTACTTTTATGGGGTTTGAACGGATTTGTGCCTTTTGAGGAGAGAGCATATGAAAATTTACCATAAGAAAATTTTCACATTTCTTTGGGCCTATTTTGTAAAATGAAACTTCGAAAATATAACTAACTACATGTACATGATACCCCAACCAAACAGTGTATAGATTTCTTAAGTTGGGGGATGGACCCTGCACCACATTTTCTGTGAGAATTTTGTTGACTTGCTTCTCATGATGCTTTGTGGTCAATTTTATAATGCTGAAGTTTTCCCCAAATGCAAATTATCGAATGCAGGCATAGGCAAAACAAAAATCTGGAAAAGGGAAAATAACGCACGCTAAAATTACACATTTGTAACACAAAACGTATAAATATGTCAAAAAGTAAAACGAGAAAAATTGCACTAGTGAATTTTAAAAAGCAGTTAACCACAAACAAATCAAAACTAATCTAAATATCTAAGATATTAAATGTAAACGATGTAAAATTTAATCTAATTTAAAGTTAACGGAAAGACCAATTTGGCAAAAACAAATTAAAAATAATTTACAAAACTGCACATTAAGAAAGCAGAAAGAAAAGGACAAAACAAACAGATCAAATGACCAACAAACCAACCAACAGGCAGACTAACAGTACGACAGATACTAAAACAGCAATGGACAGATCGTAAATAACAGAGTCAAAGAAATAAACGATCAAATAACAATCAAATAAAAATAAACAACTAACAGGGGAGCAAAAACGACGAAGACGAAACCCTGTAAACTAGGAAGGGAGGGGGCCAAAAAAATGCACAGCCAAAGAAAAGAACCAGGGATTAAGAGGGGGAGCATTCGGACGAGAAAAAAAATAAAGTGATAAAAGGGGGCAAATAAAAAACATGAAAAATAAAAGCTATAACTGTTTATAAAATATGTTTCGGAAAAGCATTTACATAGGCCCTATAGTAGTTACTCCGAAATATTTCACCTTTTCTTTATATTCATGATGAGGTTTAAAAAACTGATCGATTGATGACTCGTCAGTTCCCTGTCGGTGAGTGCTTTCCTAGCTCCTTGAAACGAGCTCTGTCCTCTTCATGGCAGCGTCCATGCATGACGACATGTTGTTGGCATGTCTTTTGGGATTTCGATTGCCATATATATGGCCCGTTTGATGACGAACTCTACGTTAAATTTATATTTTCGTGGTTAGGATTCAATTTAATGAGTGCTATGAATGTAGGCATCACAGTGCAAGCTCATTAATACTCGGGATATTATAATTTTAGCCACACCCCCAAATTACTTTGAAGTTGATACCGAGGTAGGTTAGCGGAACCACTGTATCTGTCCTTCACTATTCCAAATTTTGTTCCTTGCTTTATTGCAATTTTTTAATGAGGTGAGTTACGTACAGTATTTTACTCACAACTGCGGCGTTGGTATAGTGTTACAAAATAAACGTGATTTGTTAGAAACGCAATTTGACGGGCAAAAAGGAAACCTATTAAGTATCGAAGACCAGGTTGGAGAGAAAATGTAGTCAAGTAAAAAGCGTTTGAAACATTGCAGTGTCGAGGGAGTTCTGTATTTTCACAATGTTTTTCTCATACATAGGCCTATATGCATTACCCCCAACCAACACTTGATTAACCAATAATGGACTTTGATCACGTCCTGCTGTAAAACAGCAAGGTTCTGAGCATTTTTGTGCTCAAACTTGGTTCAAAGTTTACTTATGCAGGTCTGCAAAAGAACTTCTCATATATGCCAAGATTGCAAAGATGCTGCTGCAAACACTCTTTTTAAAAATGTGGAACGTCTGTTGCATGTGGGTTATTTTGTCCCCACAAAATGTTGGATACAATCAATCACCATATCAGTTCCTTTAGCTTCGAAACGGGGACCCACCTGAAATTTATGATTAAAACCTTATGCAGGCGGATTGACAGATAAATGTGCACGTCACGTTATATAGATCGCCAGGAACTTTCCATGTTTATTTTAGCACACAAGAGGGGCAGATACGCCCCTTTAAATGGTATCGAATGAAGAAGTATAGGCCTAAGATACTCGCAAATGCACAATCAAATGTAAGAAGCACGCTGCTCATTTTGCAGTTTTCCGTCGTTACATACTTCAAACTTCAGTGCTACTTTACAGTCCATGGTTGGTTACCCTCCTTTCCCCGTCCACTGTATAAGTTAAACTTCTGAAAACCACTTAAGGTTGTAGCTGCCTTGTGCAGCAAGACTAAACCACTCAGTCTCCTTTATCGAGCCATCACCCCTCTTGACCATTTCCAGGTTTTCTTCCCAACCATCTTTAATGCGTTTCTCAGATACCTTCCATGAAGCAGCTCTGTTTTCTTCCGCTTCTCTGAGGGTTTCTTCCTTCCCTTTCCTCTTTAAAACAGGATCCGCGATATATTTCTTTGCAAACTTTGGCAGTCCTTCTTGAGCCCAAATGACCATACCCTAAACACTTCTCAATGTTGCCACGATCTATTGCACTTATTTATCTCATATGCACCTTCTGCCCACAGAAAATTAAACATTTATAACAAGTGCCCTTGGATGTAACCGTAGATACGTGCCGTACTCCTAGTTTTGATTCCTCCAGTCAAGAATATGAGACACAAAGTAAAAGGTTTACAGAAATATCCGAGTAGGGCTGATCACAACTGTGTCACGGGCATCCAGCTAATAATGACGACAGGGTGGAAAACTTCCAGATAGAGCTTTTCTAACCTGGTTAAGTACATCCGCAGTTAAATCAATTTTTGTGATCTCCACATTGCTTCAGTTGTACACTTCAAAAATCCACGGGGGGGGGGTATTTTCCAAGTCACAGTACGCAAAGTAATGCACTAACACACAGCTTGATTCATTTTTAAAAATTTTTTCACAATATTAGGTAGCACACCATGCAAAACATGAAAAATAACGTTTTGAATTACAATTTCAAACACGTGTCTGAAACAAATGATTGCAGAAAGATTTTCATTAAAGGGTATAGTTCGATTAAATTAGTACTTTTTTATTTCAGGAATCGGCAATTATTATTAATATACAGAAAGAGAATTTGCCTTCAACTGGTACACCTACAGTTGTACACATCAAATAGGAAAATAACAACCATGATCACTTTCGATTCATTAAACAATTGTTTTCTAAAGTCCTTAAATGTCAACTCCCCTGTATGACATTGTAATTAATTGAAATGGGTAAACGATACAAATTGAAACGTGACAACCTACATTTTTTGGCCATACATATAGAATGCGGGAATACTTTAGAGGCTGTAGTGCCTTTTAATTTTTCTACCCGTAATTACATCTTTGTCACAGAGTGACATGCATGGCTTCCCTGGATTCAACATTTGGCTTATCCAGATTTTTCGTACAGCTTTGTTGAATTGGAGAAGAAAAGTCATCAATTCAACATTACAACTGTGCATTGGCACATTCAAAATCTGACGAGTTTACATTTGGGTTTAATAATTAGCCATGTACATGCAAAACAATAATAGGAGGCACCACTAATCTTGAAGAATAGCTTGTGATCTTCAGAGTTGAATACATGTATTTTAAAAATCTTGGACAGCATCATGCTTTAAAGAGTTTTGTATACGCCAATGCCTTTGCAAACTGGAAACCACCCGTCATCTATTTGACAGTGTGAACAATTACAGAATGCAGGCTCAATAGTTCCTGTTTACCCAGTGACCAGTTATTTATAACTACATATATATTAGCATATATAAAGAGCTCAAAATCTCATTGTAAATATTTGTCATGAGGAAACTGGCATGGGGTACAAGCAAAGCAACAAATGGCCAGTCTGTAACCTATGACCCCTCCTCAGTTGGGCCTCGACTTAAAAATGGTAATTAAATACAAAATGGAAATTGTTCAGTTCATTGCAAAGATTACTTCACTGTTAACAAAAGCAAACCTTCATTTCAACTTCCACTCAAAGAGAGTGAGGTGGGAAATTTCCCTAAATGGTTCATTAAACACCTTTGTTTTCAATGTGCATATCACTTTCAGTCTGAAGAGACATGGAGGCCATAGTGCCCATACAATCCAAACTAACCATAAATATATAATGAACCTTAAATCATGTTTCTCACCAGAAACAAGTTCAATGCAAAATGTAGCACATGGTGCAGCATTTCACATCCCAACTGCATTTGGATTTGTTGAGACTTGTTGAATTTGTCATGTCGAGGTTTAGTTTAAGCACTGAGGCCAGCAGATGAGGTTAGACAAGTGCACTGGTAAGTTACAACCAAATCCATACATGTATGTTCACAATAGTGCTCTCTGTACATCACAAGTTTGCCATGGAATTCCATTTTTGCAATACCTATATTACTGGCCATCTTGTGATGAGGAATGTCAGCGTTTCCAAGTAAATGCTATGTCCAAAAGCCTCAGTTACAGCTTTCAGTAACACAGACTCATTGGCTTTCACGAAGTGCACAGCCAAGAGTTTTGAGCACAGCTCGCCTCATGACTCCCTGTCTCACTGAATCTCAGTGCTCCTGTTAGCAGGGAGAACTTTTATACACTGTCTTTAATCCTTATCCAGTGTTGTTTAATGTTAAGCAATATAGAGTCAGTGCTGTCCAAGAAATTAATGAAACCCCCCTTTCCCTAGCCCCCTTACCCCCCAAAAAAAACACATGCAGTTGCCATAGTTACAGCACTTCCGAATGGTTGCTGTCGAATTCTTTAGAATCAATCTGCAGAATTGGAATTAGGTACCAGACTAGTCTGGAACAAATGGATCTAAGACATTTCCTCCCCCCCCCAAAAAAAAGGCCTCAAAGAGTATGTAGAAAAGGGGAAAATCAGAGGAAAGTAACCATTGGATGAGGAAAATAGAACAAGTGAGTATCAAAGAAATTCATAAAAAAGATGATCAATGTGGGCCTCGGACCTGAAACGTAGTGCATGGCGAGCAACATGTGTATATCAGAGAGGCACTGCATCACCTTGCTGGCTTTGTGAAATCCAATAACAATATACATGCATACATGTACATTTACAATGCTTGTACACTGCTGTAACTACAGAATTTGGAAATCACGTTACGGCTGTAAAGGGGGAAAAAATCAACCACATTGCTCTGGTTGGACCCATTTCTTACAGGTGCTGACATCTCAACCACTCAGCCGCCATGTTTGCTGGGATAAGATCAATATTAAAGTGTTCATGGCTAAAGACAATGCACATGTAAGGACAAGGCCATGGGTTAGAATCCCGAGAAAGTAAGCTTGTCCTCTTTTAAAAGCTTTTGAGCAACACTGCATATAAAGTAAAATTACTTTCGAAAAGTTGGAATATAAATTTATAACAGATTAATGTTGTTAAGTAACGTATAAAAAAAATGGCAGTATTTTGATCATGCATTGGTAAAATTTAATCCATTGGTCATTAGACCACTGTAAACAGTCATGCAGTAGTTGAATCAACGTGGATTTCACACAAAACGTCGGCATCTATCCGGCCACCAAGGTCTGTTCATGCATTTAGTGAACAACAAAAGAGACCCGCGAAAGCAGTAACTGTCTGTACTGCTTCCCATGACTTGTGTACTTATGACAAAACAAATGTAACTAAAATCTGCAGTTTTTCCGGAATAAAACGAATGAAAAATTGGCATTTTAGCCCCTACTAAAACATGAATGGAGAGGGTACACTGTATGTTTCTATTTTATGTCCAAAACTCTCATCAGATCATCAGTACTGTGATTATAAAGTCATCCCTCCTTCCTCACAGTGACATTTTAGCTATACCATTTAATTCAATATTCCTTTGTGAAGCTTATTAAGATTGAGTCATATTTCAAATCAATTGTTAGGCATCTTCACACAATTAGACTCAATTCCCTAGTTGATTTAACAAGTTCCCTAAACTGTTCATGAAGGGAACTAAATTCCCTAGTGTACTGTACCTATACTGTAATTTTTCTCCCATTTAATATGCTAAAACCAATGAAATGAGCAACTTTCACATTTTCACTCAGCATATGCCAGCACAATTTACCCAAGCCAAACACCACCAAAGTGTACACGTAAATTATTGCCTTTATTCACAAAAGACAAATTGTGGACATTGTCCCCTTTTTTCTCACTGGATTAAACAGGAAAGTGTTGACTGCTTCTCACCGAGCTTAACTGGTCTTTGGACATTGGCACCGTTCTTCTGTTGGTACATCCTTCAGGACTTGCTCTGCATGCTTGCCACACCCTAGAGACAAATATTACAAACAGTATAGACCATAACTGATCTAAAACCAATCAAACCCAAACTCCAAGCAGGTTTTTCGGCCGCCCTGCTAAATGCAACAGAAACCAACACTGTTGAAATAGCAAACCCGGGGCATGTTTACAACCATTAAACCGATGATGTGAATGTTTGCGATGTCCAAACAATAACCAGGAACACATTTCCGGTGCTGCGACAAAACGCTAAACGAGAAATGGTTCCATTAAATGACAGAGATGCAGCACAGTTTCAAATGTTCTTGAAGTACACGTAGCTGACATCATTCTTGGCAAACATCAATTTCACTCAATATTCAGCATGTTTCTCACCTCTCTACATTCTTGACAGTATCCCTTTTCATGACATGTAATAACACATTAAGAATGCTTGGCCAGGTACTGAACGCGTTCCAATCTTTGCTTCTCATTTGGTTGAAAAAAAAAATGGAACAGGCATACTTGAACTCACAAAACCAAAACCAGTGCTGAGGTAGAGACATGTTTCTGGTCAGGTTTACAAAGACATGATCCTCATCTAGTCGACAGAGTGTAATGATGGATTTTATCAGTCTTTTAGAAGCATGGTGGACACAATAAGAGGGCGCTATTTGGTTCGGGTAAAATCTTTTGTTTGCGCCAAATAACGCCCTCCTATTGTGTCCACCATGCTTCTATAAGGCTGATGGCATTCTCCAAAGCCCTAGATAATACCAACCCAGGCACTATGCAGTTGTATTGATTTCCTTGCAAGTTAAATGTATATTGGGTATAAGAAAGACGTGAATTTTGATTACTGCTGTTTTCCATGGGATCTTTTGCCACTCAAGGGCTATTCTGTAAAACTTTGAATTTGACCAGAACATATATTGTATTGCACATGTAAATATTGAAAATGAATACTGAATGTAGAACAGCAGTCTTTACAGCAAAATCTGATATCAAAAATGAACTTATCACTGTGGAATTTTCAGCAATGCTGCAGTTGTTCTGTGTTGCTCTGAGAATTTTCTTACCTTTCCAGGTGTATTTCTGACACTTTTCGCATGTTACTTTGTAACACATCTTCACAACTGAACAAGTCACAGGTCAATGCTAAGTAGATTGGCAATATCAAATAGCTGCAGGGCAAAAGATTGAAATGTTTAGGGTTCATTTGACTATAGCAACCCCTAAAGAATTTTGCATCACAAGAAAGTGATGCAGTATAACAGTGCAGTCTCCAGACATGATGTACACATGCCATGCTGAACAATCTGTGAAGTTGTCAGTTTAATTTTACACATTATACAGTGGACCTCTAAGTTGTTTTTTTGAGCCTTGATGAATACTTAGAACAGAGGGATTATTTTGTTTTCATTACATGACCAAAGGGTAAAAGAGGCTGGGCACTACTGTTTACAAAGCAAAGATGACAGCATGTAGTGCCTTGTTATATCCCCCTATGGCCTTGCAATGAAAACAATATAATTTCCCCCCCCCTCTGAATATGGCCGAGTCCGTAAACACTTCAACCACATGATCTAAAAATTTAGGTCATGTGGTTGCTCTCAGATGGCTAATTAGCGTAATACTATGTAGGAAGAAATAAGCCTTATTGCTGATACTGCATGGGTGATTTTGCACAATGGTAGAAAGGCATTGGGAAGGAAAAGGGGGCAATGCTCCTTTATCCTTCCCACAATGTCTTTCAACAATTGTGCAAAATCACCAATGCAGTATTAGCAATAAAGCTTTGGGGTATTAGTGATGTCCGTGTATGGAATTTTTTCCCTGTTTTAGAATACACTCTGAGGCACTGCAAATAGCCACACGAAAAGTCATACATAACTTAGTTTTCCAAGGCCTGGGTTTCTGCATAAACAGGAAAGTATTAATAAAAAGCATGCATGGCTGCAGGCTTCACTATGCACCGAATTGGCGCTAACGTCAGTACACAGGCATGACAGGGCGGAGCTCTATGTACATAGCTGAGTACATATCCCACATACATGTAGATGTAGACTAAGTACAGTATCTAGCTCGGTCATCTGGAATGTTACATGTCCGTCGGTCATGTCGGTATGGTTACAAAAATCAGTATTCGACCTCAGAAAAAGAAAGCTAGAAAGTCACTTAGGCCTTCTAGATCGACCGACTGCCTCCACTAGAACTATAATTTAGGCTAGGATTAAGCCTACAGAGACATAAAAAAGGAAAAACCATTGTTTCTCTGTCAAGAACTCACGCAGTACGTGTAATGCAAATCTTCGGCAGCCCTCGGCTGACTCCCTCGCAGTAGATTAAACTTAACGTGCAGACGGAACTTTCCCAAAGTGTTCGTCAACATTAAAAACGGAGGATAACAGCCCACAAAATTTCCCAGCTTGTATATTCGTGTTCAAAATGAAATCTTGCCATATTCAATGTAATTCATTTTTGATTTCATGCTTCAATCTTAACACTAAGTAATTGTCTTCCTCTTCTCGAATATTGAAATATAAGCTTTGATCATGGAGGTAGAATCACACCTACCTCCATGCTTTGACTAATGGAAAGTTTGTTGACATCGACACGTTGACCTCAGGTCATTAGCAGTTGTTTACAGTGTGGGTATAGCAACGTGCTGGAACCTTCTCTCGGACATGCCGGACCAGGTAGATGATTGTGTGCAGCAACGTTGGTGAATGGAATCGTATTTTTGATAATTTGATACTTTTTCGGTAGTCCTTACTTTAGGACGACTTTCACGTTAGAGAACTTACTCCTCATTAGCTGCAAAATGGTAAGGATTTCGCATATTGCATTCTCTCAACTCTTGGCCTTAAATGTGCGTTATCGTGTCCGTACCCGTTCATGAAGACAAAGTCCAACCTGGGCTAGGTCTAGGCATGGAGGGATCCCCTCCATGGTCTAGGCATACATGTACTTTACCGAACGGTAAAGCGTCCATACCCTCCACTCCACCATGATTTCCACAAAAATTTAAATAGTAAATTTACACAGTCCTCAGTCCCAGACCCTACACTTAAAAATTGCCGCAGCCAAAGCTGTTCTAAATCAAGACACGCTCAAGATTAAGTCAAAATTGATTGAAAGAAACATTAGGCCGGGGCTACCTCCAGAACTGTAAGCAGGTAAGATTTATATTACAACCTTGCAAAGATAGCCAAAAGTCTTATTGCTGATTCCGCATGCGTGATTTTGCACAGTGGTAGAATAGAAAGGCATTATGGGAAGGAAAAAGGAGCAAACATTGCCCCCTTTTCCTTCCCACATTGTCTTTCTACCATTGTGAAAATTTACCCATGTGGTATCAGCAAAAAGGCATATGTAAGCTGAGGTACAGTACACTACGCTGGTGAAAAGAATGCACTTACATACGTACTGATCAAAGTAGCCCAATCTTCTGACTGGCTGGTTTGTGCATTTTCATTTCAGTTATTTTCATTGGCGTGGTATGGTTGCTACCCACTATTTGTGAAAGTTCCAGATGTTTGCCCCGGCCTATAAGAGTTTTCCTAAGGGATTACCGATTTATTTGTAGTGGGATGAGCTTATGGGGATTAAAAGTTAGCCTAAGGACAGCTGGACAAGGAACTTCTTTATTGTTGATGTGCCCAAATGCCAAGTGTGTTGAATGTGGCCCCACCCTTTTGATTTTTCATCTCTAGTACCTTGCCAGGCCTGGAACAGTATGTTTACCTCTGATTTCACAATAACTGAAATTTTCATCAACATTATCAAGCTCTCAAAATTCCCATTTTGAGAATGTACTGCCAATGGGAGTTGCTGGGGAAAAATATATTAGGTCCAAACAGACTGCTTTGTAGCTGGCTATAAAGCAGAGTACTAAGTCAGCTAGAGCACAGTGAGAACTACATGTACATGTACATTATCAGCCATGAATTCATACATGTAGCCGGCTACACGGTGGACTTGTGATTAGGTGGGCATTCTGCAATTGTGTCTTAGAGTTTATTAATTGTAAGAATTTCTTAAATTTATGTTAAATGTGGTATTTTCTGAGATTTACTCAAGTGTGTAGTGTTAGGGAACACCTACATGTATAGTTTATTTGAGCCCAATTTCTGAACACCACTGTTTTTGAATTCAGACTAAATTTCATTACACTGAAATTATTCACAAAGTTTCAACAGCATACATGTACGTGAATATGAAGGAGATACTACCGGTAATCATGCAATGGTACGATGATTCGGTGTCGAAGTTGGTGCATGAATTGGTCAACGTGTTTTTTAGTTGGTCATGTTGGTGCTTTCATATACATGTAATCAACATTCATCTGCATAATAGCCCCATTGCTTTGTGCAGTTGGTTGATTGTGTATGAAATCGCCGACTGTGTTTCCCTGTATCCTGAAACAATCTTCCACAAGTGTGAATTAGAAAGGAAAGGCAAAAGAAATTGACAGATTGTGCAATAGTAAGATCAGTTTGTGCAATGATTGACCAACCGAACCAAACGTTTTACCTGCAGAATTTCTTCACTTTGGGTGAGCTTGAATGTTTTTACGTTGCCCGATATATGTTGCTACGTCTGAACAAGCTTCGAAAACCCAGCTCTATGGCTTATGCCTTCTGCTAGTCTTCTTGAACCAGAAGGCCATTGCGTTTGAGGCAAGCATAAAGTTAAGGGCTTAACACAAAAATGCTCATGACAAGTAGCAAGTGTGTGGCGCATAACTTCAAGTGTCTGGTGATGCATTGTCAGTGTACACTGTACATGTACATGTAATTGAAAAGCAAATTCTGGAGGGATCAAAGTTTTAACTCCCCAATTGCCAATGCCCTGTCCATTGAGTCGTACACGGAGAAATGCTTCCATTGAGTGATTTGCATACTAGTGGCGTCAGTTTATTCCATTTACATGTACTTGTACATGTACATGTACAGTATGTTGTATTTAAGTGCAGGGTGGTGATGTGACGTGAAATGATTTTATTCAGAAATTATGGAAATGTTATTTTAAGTGGGGCTGGGCAGAAAAGTCGTTGAGTTTCTATCATCTAAGAAAATAAAAGGTATTCCAGGTTTCGGAGATATTTCTGTTATTCATCTATCGAAGTGTATAATATTAACTACATGTACCTGTATCATTCGTTAATTTATTCTGTTGTATTGTATTGGAAGCTCTCGGCTTTATGGAAACAAATGTAGCTTGATTGATTCACAGATTCATTGAAGAGAGGGAACTGGATTTACAGCAATGTTGGACACAGAATCAGACTTTGGTCTTCGATGGCTCTTTAACCCAAACAGCTTTGAGTTCCTACCAATTGAAGAACAACTCAAAAAGTACAAGAGCCGTGATCTAGCAAAGGCAAAAACCTATGCCACAGCCACAAAACTATGGGGCCTTTCACGGAACCGAAAGAGGGTATTCATTGCCCCGCCAATGGGCGATCACCCTGGGAGGGATGTCAGTGTCCGACTGGCCAATGCTAGGTTAAAGCCCTTGGACACACCAAGCCCCCCTGCTAAGAACAAAGACTGGGCTTTGAGTGAGCTTGAAAAGATCGCTGCCCACGACCAGGAAATCGAGGAGAAATCGAGCGAATACAAGGCATGGCTGGAAGACAGGATGAAATTGCGAGATGGTTTGGAGAATCTTGGATTGAATGAGGAATGGTTGAGGCATAAACCGGATCCCAGTCCTTTGGAACGGAGGGTGGTGGAACGCATGAGAGGAGAGCGACTTGGGAAACATGCAATAAACAAGGTGAGTAGTTGAGTTGATGTAATCTTGTTTTCCATTTGTCGATTCAGTTCCCCCTCCAAAGAATTATTTTCAAACAAGTTCTGTTACATGAACTTCATTCAGCATCACTCAAGTGCATCAAATCCAGGAATTTTCCTAGATTCATTTCTTGTGTTCAGCAAGCTTTGAGATTTATACATGTAGGTACGTGTACATGTAGGAAACATGTAAGTTGGATACAATTACTGTAGCTGATATGCACCATTGCTCTGTGCAGTTGGTCTATCCTGTTGGAAATCTCCAAAGTTACTTCCCATTTTGAAACATTCTGTGAATACTGAATAATAAAGCGAAGGTGATTGACTGATGGCAGAATGAACAACTCATGGAATACGATCGATCTGTCATGCAAAGATCTGGCAATAAATCCTACCACACTTCTCTTCTGCATGACATGGAGATGGAGGTGTGGCCTTCCAGGTGCACGTATGTATATCCAATATGCACATTGACCGATCGTACCCAAGAGATTCAGAGAGTCTACAAGTTTGCCAGTATCCACTGCAGTTCCAAAGAGCATGTTGCCATATCCTTCCAGAAACACAGTGCCGTGAATTTGCATTGGATTGAATTGTTTTGCCTGATGACCACTGCAGAATGTTGACACCTGATGCGCTTCCCTTACAAAATGTGAAAGAAACCTGTGGTCATCAGCACTGTTTGAAAGGTGGTAGGATATGACAAAATGTCTGCAGTGTCCTAGGCCAGTTTTACATACATGTATGTACTTGTACACAAATGCAGACCTACGTGTACATGTACGTATATTCACAATGACTGATTATCTTTTGTCTCGCAGGGTTTAACCCAAACACAGGATAATGAACTTCAGGTACTTAATGTTTTGGGACATAGTGGTTGTTATATGTGGTCTTTGTGTACATTTTACATTAGAATGTAAATTTTGGCTTGGTTTTTTTGTACTTATTTGGTGCATGCATGTCATCAAACAAAGTTTTATTTAGTTCATATTATTGATGCATGGGCATTCTCAATTTGCTGCAACAGATCTCAGAATATGGAAAAAGAAATCAACCCAGTAATCATGGTAATATACTTTACTTGGGACGTAATCTTTATGAAAGGCAAACATGTCTGGTATTTCTTTGGTTTGGGGCAAATCACTTTTTAAAAACCAAATTTCTCATACATGTACACTTACATTATGCATTGTATGTTCGTTGGGTGTAACAAAATACACAAACGATACAATTTACAGTTTTAGTGCATGGTTCTTGTATACTTGTGAAGTGTTTAATTGTTTGCACGCGTCACTGTATTCATGATGTCAGCATATGATATGTGCATGTCTCGATTCTCCAGTGTCATACTGTGTTGCATGGGTGGTGGTGGTGTCCGTAATGTGCCTTAATTCTAACTTCTTTTTCAGTGAATTAGTATTAAATATAAAGTATGATAATAATATAAAGTAATATAAAGTATTTCGAAAGAATTTGAAAGCTTGGAAAGACAACAGAATGATCAGTATCTGGTGCTACGTCCAAGCATTTGCTTTTTGGCCAAATCTTTCACAATCAAATTTCAGGTCATTTTTTTCATTTACCAGACATTAAAAGTCCACCACAAAATACTTTAAAATCTTCAATTAAATGAAAACCATTTTCATGCGTCCAAAATTATCACTTCTAATGCTGCAGGTATTGTAGAATACCAAGTTCATCACCACGTTTTAGCTCGTTGTTCAGTGTGGACTAAGTCAGAAAATACAAACGATGGAAACTTCATTGTAAATTGAGTACAGGTTCCCAATCTGGCAAGCCTGTTAATTTTTTGTGAGCTGGCCTTAAATTTGTTCACACAAAAACACTCAGTAATTGGCAGTGTTGCAGTTGGGTACTTTTCAAGTACCAAGTGCCAGATATTTTAAGTATGTGTGTTAGGAGGGAACAAACCTGAAGTACAGTACATTGTATACATACATGTACATGGGCATATGATGGTACATGCACAAAGGTAAGATTACAAAGTAAAATGGTGACTTCATACTGTCGCTGTTTATTAAATATAAAGTTTTTATGACAAAAGTACTCAAAAAGTACTCGGCCGGCCGTGTACTGTCTGAGTAGTTTTCTCCTCCTCAAAACTTAAATGTGACAAAACTGGGAGTGTCTGAAGTCTTACATGTACATTTAGTTTGTAATCTTCCACTTACCCAGTTCTCAGAAAGTACTCGACTACAACACTGGTAATTGGCAGCATTGATTAGATTAGAGCACTGCTGCTGATTTGATTGAACATGATCTGTCATCAGATCTTGTAATCTTGTGAAAGTGAATATAATAATGTGGGTGCATTGGCATAACATACATGTACAGTGGGCCGAATTCCTTTTGTTTGCTTTTATACCGTGGATGAGAGGCGCTGTAAATTACATTCAATGTAATAGTTCCTGTGTTCTTTTCATTATGCTGCAAAGGATTATCTGATTATGGGTATTAATGTCAAGGTTTGTTTTCAATTTCTGGCTACATTTTATGAAGGGGATAGGCCTTGATTTAAATAAGAAATGATTGCATATACATTGTAATAAGCCTTTTGTGAGCTAACTTTGACCAAAATTTGGTACACTGAGTTCTTTAAATTAACTTGAACGTTACATAACAACTTGAATTCCCCATACTAAAACCGCTGTTGCTCTACCTCGTGATTCGGGGCTAGCTTGTGCATATAGTTACATGTACAATGTACATATAAGAGATACATTGTAATATTCTTAATGGATAAGAGGGGCAAAAAGGAACCAGCTAGCTACCGGTAGTCCATTCCAGAGATAGTGGTCATCACTATGCGGTTAAAGCTTGCCCCGAATCACGAGGTATACATGTACGTGTAGCAACAGTGTCTTTAGTCAAGTCGTTATGTTTATGTGCAATCAGATAACTCAGTGTAGCAAATTTTATTCAAATTTAACTCGCAAATGGCTTTTTAACAATATAAATTATTGTCATCTTGGTTATCTGTAATTTAAAATGAAGTTAAATTTCAGGGCCCTATTTTGTATTAAATTAACACTACTGTACGTGTATACACATGTACAATGGATATGCAACTGATTATCCCCTCGCAAGTGGTTGGTCCAGTTTTACAAATACTGCATTTTTTTTTCTTGTTCTGTTAACATGTAAATTGTGTTTACATGCATTGTTTTGTACTGGTGCATGTACATGTATATATACATGGTGTAGCATTGCCAACTTTGAATGATTTACCCCGATTTTGTTTTTATGATGGATGAGGGTACCATCTGAGTGATGAAAACATTAAATGTTATTTCTTCAAAAAGTTTACTTGCTCTGACCTCTTCTCAAAAGTTTACAGACCTCCTCAAACCCAAACTTGAAGTACACGCAGATGCAACCTAGTAACTTGATCATTTCCCATAGATTTTAACCTCAACTTTTTTCTGCTATAATTGTGAAATCAAACAGGAAGGGCATGATCCCACCAGCATCAAGCTGGAAGTGCCATCCAGCGAGCCAGTCATGCCAGGCATCAAACGGCCACCTCCTGAAGCCATGGCTGTCATCGCCAAGTACCTGACTGCCAAGCGACAGAGACTGATTGACCTGTTTGCCCGGGCTGATAAGGATAAAAGCTGGACTCTTACCAGAGGGGAGTTTCAGCGATGCATCAAGGAGGTATATGTACATGTTTTGTGGAAGGAAAAGTGTACGTACATGTATACATTGGAACCATCTGAGAACAAAATGGATCCACATATTTGTATGCAGATTGTGGAAACCTTGTGTGGACAATTGAGCTACATGTAGGTTCGTGTCACACAAGGAACCAATTCTAAAAAGCCTGGTTTCCGCATCGACATAAAGAGACACAGAGAGCATCACGATCAATTTCTGTCAATACGTAATCATGGAAAGACTTTATTGCAGCGGATGCAAACAGGGACGCATGCAGACAGTCAGCAAGGTTGAACTTGGTTCACCTTTGCCAACTGTCTGTGTCAATTTGCCCATCTGTTTCTCGTCCTCCATTTTGCCAGAGAGGAACAACTTTACAAACACACAATGGCGTGCCAGGCACACAACGATGTCTCGCTTAATTAGTACCCCGCATTTTGCCAGATTTTCTCCATATTAGTAATATATGCAGCTCCAATTTTCAACAAAATAGCTGACCATAAACAAAATACATCAAACCGGAAAAGTACTTTAGCTTCAAGGATTTGTATTGCTACATAAAAAAAGCATTTTTTGCAAACAATCTCTGAGTTCAGGTGCCATTTTGTTTAACTTTTGGTGAAATAATGTCATGCAGCAGCTCTTCTGCAACATCTGCACATAAAAAAAGTTGACATTTTTCGTACTCTCGGCGTTCGTTGTGACCAGATGGAAACCAGGCTAAACAGTTTCAGAGGTGCTTTGGGTTAAGGTTATTGGTAGCAAAAGGAACAGGAACAGTTAAGGAAACTTCAACAAAAAGCCAGCTAAAAAGAGTGTGATTCACAAATGGAAGCATTTTCTTTTTCAAAATTTCCTCAACTGGGTGAATCTATGCCTGCAACCTCTGTGGTTTGATGAGCATATACCCACTGTGTATGTTTTCATAGATTTGAAATAATAGAAATAGAAGAAGTGAAATTATTAAAATATTACTTGGCTGGAATTCTACATCATGGAGTTTCAGATTTTCATATTCATCTCGATATTTTAGCTGTCCCATGTGTTCTTGTCGGAGATGGTATCAGATTCCAACAAATGAATACAAATAAGATTCCAATTAGAGTATGGATAAAGTAAGAAATGGTTGAATGAAGTAAAAAAATTGATCATTTTTGTATTAGAACACTTGATTTCCATGACATTCAACCTTAATTTCATAATAGGCAGGCATTCCAATCTCCTCCCAACTCCTGTCGGATCTTTTGGAGAGCTTGGATCAGGATTCCAATGATGTGATTGACTACAGGGAATTTGTACACGGGATGAAAGACTTCAGAATAGATGAGAGGAAGAAAGTCTCTATGGCTTTAAGTAAGCAACAGGGTAACCGTGTGGTAATGACTTAGTGGATTAATTTGGCCAATTTTAAACTAAAGGGCACATATTGTATGTTGAGTTGAAGCACGAGGAGTTCCAGAACCAACCTTTGGGGTTAAGGTCCAATTGGAGGGAATAAATTTGGGGGCTTTTCATGCTTTTTAGAAAGGGATAGAAAGGAAACTGCAAAAATTGTTGTTCGCTGATTTTATGTGTAAAAAAAAAACCTTTTGGGGATGGGTTCAGTGTCTTCCCCATTTGATCCACCATTGAATTAAAAAAAGTATTATGGTTCACTGAGGCTTCTTAGAATCCCGTCAAGGCATGGGTCTTTTGACCTGAAAAAGCTTTGGAGAATAGAGCTTTTGGCTGATTAAAAAGTCCATAGCTTCAAGAGAACCAGGTCAGCCTATAACCGAGCCCAACTGTGTGTATGGCTGTTGTTTTGGTAATAGACACATCATTAATCTTCAACGGCAAGAGAGCCACGCTTTTTCAGCCAATGCCTTTTGTGTTGTGGAGGGAAGGATTTCAGCTGTTCCATGCCTATTCTTTGTAAAACTTGGCATGCATGCAATGTATGGCACATAACGTGTAATGTAATGTACTTGGCATGTAACAAAATTCATTGTTGTAATAATTTAATACAACTGTACATGTGATCATCTACATGTATACTGTATAGGCAGTTGCTTTGCTTTTGTTGCTCTGCATGCATTGAGCGCATCAATGGGAAAAGGTAACGTTTCGGTCTGACTTGCCTTGTACAAATGGTTGTTAAATGAGAATGGTATGTGATGGTGAGGTACTGTATTACTGGGCAATTCCCCAAAAACTCACATTGTAATGAAATCAGAGAAATGTCAAGGGGAGGGGGCAAATTCCTCTTTTTGTTGGGTTAAAGATGCCACATGAGACATCTACTAATACAAATATCAGCAAAATGCTTGGCTTGAATCCCACCCATGATGTGGACTTCAACCTGCATGTAGTGAAAATCTAAACACAGGCAAACTTGAGTACAGGCCTTCTCAATCACAAATATGAAAAATATATTTTTGCTTGACTTCTTGCAGATAAAGACAAACAGCCAGATAGAGTGGCGGATCTCAAATCAGCGCTAAGTGCCACGTCCCCGTTGTCGGACCTGCGGCGTTCTGGCTCACAGCGCTCGGTGTCGGCAGTCTCGGGGGCCTCCTCGTCACATTCACCCACCGATGCGACCTCCAGGTCATCCTCCCCATTCCTGTTGCCCCCAGTAACCGATCTGACAGAGCGGCGGGAGCTGGAGCCAGATGAAATGATTGAGAAGAGAAAACGAGAGAGGCATCTTGGCTCTTTGATACATGTAGGTGTCACCTTTTATGATTACAGATCCCTCCTAAAGAATGAAGTTTTTAAAACACAACATTATCCTGTTAATGGATTGGTCAATTTTTTTAGTTTGCATTTTCATTATTGTCTCGCAAACCCTGTTGACGTTGTTTATTATCTTGTATAAATAACTTAAGGTGAGAAAAATTTTCCCCATGTAAACTTGAGATAAAGTTAGTCTTCCGTTTTCCAAAACTTTGAGCTGAATGAGGTTCAGTCAACCACCAGTGCTGTTGTACATGTACCTGGTGATGTGCTTATGTGAATGCACAATATGGCTGGGAAAAAACCCAGCCCTGACTCGTGTGTTTCTGATTTGTCACAGTATGCTGAAAAGTAGTGTAAATAATATGTTATGTTGCAATATTTCCATCATAAACACCCAATACAATATAAGCAGATAGGTTGGCTGTTTGTCCATAGAAAGTCATTGTCATTTGACCATTTAATACCGGGGCTGTTTGTAAAACCAAACTTTGGGAATGGTTATAATTAGGAAGACTCATCAAATCTCAATGAACTTTCCAAAAACTATTTTCAAGATGTATTTTTTTTTTTTTTTGCGTTGGGAGATGTTAATTTTATGTGACAGGTTTTGCCCTTACCCAACGTATATTAAT